GCAAGTCACAACTTCCCCCCGTCCGGCCGTCGTCTCCAAAACTCCACTACAATGGTGCGCACTTCGCTGACTCAACTGGCAGCAAGGTAAAGATCTGCAAAACGCACTTCATAGTTAACTCTTAATACTTATCCATTATTAATTTTTTTTTGTTTGTGATGTACATGAAATGTGTGTGGGGTTAACGTGTCTGTGTGGCTGTAGTTAAGATGTCTGTATGGTTTGTTTGTATATTTTTGCGAAGTCCAAACCTGTCTGTATGACTTATGTTGAGATGTCTGTACAGTGTGCAGGTGTATGTCTATCTGAAAAAATGGTTTCACCTTAGGTTATTGATGTACATGAGATGTCTGTGCCTCATTAGTTTTATCCATGATTAATTGGGTTGTATTGGTTGTTTGTTTTGTGCTTTTAAAGATGTCTGTATAATGTGTTCTTATTTGTGGGTTAAGGTGTCTGTGTGGCTGTTGTTGAGATGTCTGTATGGTTTGTTTGTATATTTTTGCACAGTCCAAACCTGTCTGTATGACTTTTGTTGAGATGTTTGTACAGTGTGCAGGTGAATGTCTATCTGAAATAATGGTTTCACCTTAGGTTATTGATGTACATGAGATGTCTGTGCCTCATTAGTTTTTTCCATGATTAATTGGACTGTATGGGTTGCTTGTTTTGTGCTTTTAAAGATGTCTGTATAGTGTGTTCTTATTCATGGGTTAAGGTGTCTGTGTGGCTGTTGTTGAGATGTCTGTATGGTTTGTTTGTATATTTTTGCAAAGTTCAAACCTGTCTGTATGACTTTTGTTGAGATGTCTGTACAGTGTGCAGGTGCATGTCTATCTGATAAAAATGGTCTCACCTTAGGTTATTGATGTACATGAGATGTCTGCGCCTCATTAGTTTTTTCATGATTAATTGGGTTGCTTGTTTTGTGCTTTTAAAGATGTCAGTATAGTGTGTTCTTATTCGTGGGTTAAGGTGTCTGTGCGGCTGTTTTTGAGATGTCTGTATGGTTTGTTTGTATATTTTTGTGAACTTCAGACCTGTCTGTATGAATATTTGTGTGTGACCAGTGTCTGTATGAATATTTTCAGGATGGAACTTCAAATTCCTCTAAGAGATTACTTCCCAGCCCAATACTCAGTATGATCAGCCTTCAATGAGGCTTTGGAGTTGCTGAGTGAATGCCTTACACTCAAGCAGATGTCATTGCTTCTCAAAAACCCCTGGTGCCATTTACTTGCTTGTCCGCACTTTCCATTCTCAGGGCAGCTAATTCATTTGTTGCTGTTGCGCCTTGTGCGTGAGCAGCCCGAGGATGAAATGTGGTTTGCTATTGAGGGGAAGCTGATGAAGTTCACTTACAATGACTCCAAGAGGATTGTTGGTGTGAAAGATCTAGAAGAATGGCCCACTTATGATCTGGATGAAGCAAGGCAAGGCATTGCGGAGAAGTATTTTGGTGGCTGTGATGATGTCACCAATCACAAGTTGAAGGCGAAAGTTGCTGCCCTAGGTACGAGCCCTCGAGAAGAGAACGAAGATGTTATGGACCGGGTGAAGTTGGCTTCTTTGTTTTTGGTCCACTTTTGTCTGCTGGCTAGAGATTTGCCTACAAGAATCCATCCGGATTACTTGCATTTGGTGGATGAGTTTAAGCTTTTCAAGTGTTGCCCCTGGTCCAAAGAGTCATACAATGTGACTGTGATGAGTGTCAAGAAGACCGTGCAAGGCCAGCCACTCAAGTTTCAACAAAGCAAGCTGGCAAATCCTAACTATCGCAATGCAAAGTTTAGCTTGTATGGCTTCCCCTATGCTTTAGAGCATCTTCAATGCTAAAACGTTAACGATGCATACGTGGCATGACAGGTAACCAATTAGAAAACAATAAATAGAACATCTCTCTCCTTATTTGAAGGATCTTACATCATTTTGGTAAGTTTTTCTTCACAATGTCAAGCAAAATGTCTAGATGTAGACATTGTGATTGACATTCTAAAGAAAAACTTACTAAAATCACATAAGGTTGTTGAAAGAATGAGAGAGAAATGTCATAAAATCAAATTTTTGTCTCTCTCCCATGCCACATGTGCACCATGCACAATGTAGCATTGGAGATGCTCTTACAGGTATTGATCTTATTGTTAGTATATTTGTTTACTTAAGAGTTACATTGTCTGTATACATGAATAAATCGTCTGTATGATATTAGTTTTTGAGATTCACTGTCTGTATAAGTTGTCTGTATTACACCCATGAATGTATGTAGGTTTGGGCGTACGAGGAGCTGCCTGTCCTTGCGCAAAAATGTGCCAAACGTGTGGCGGGTAAGAAGGATATTCCAATGCTCAAGTGGACTACTGATGGCTTTTTTCATGCCCATGTGCTAGAAAAAATTGTGTTTAAAGATGTTGTTGAGGTAATACTTTTGTTGGTGTAATTTCTGTAATTGTCTGGAGTACAGAGTTGTAATTATTTACATCATTTATTGGTAGGAGGACGAGGTTGACGATGAGGTTGAGGAAAGCAATGAGGATGCCACAGAAGAGGAATTGCAGTTATTGCGTGAACGTGTAGCCGATCTTGAAAGGAGGCTGAAAGCCACTGAAAGTCACCTTTCTGAAATGAAAGAGAAGGAAGGGAATGAAGATGGAAATAGAGATGACGAACAAAACAATGTGGACACTGAAGAGGTAAATGTCTTCTGCACTTCGGTGAATTTGTTTGTACTTCTTTTTGAGGTTGTATGTATTGTAATTTGTCTGTATATTACAAATGACATTATCGAATTTTGGAAATATATTGTAGACTGATGAGGATAGATGTGAAGTTGTTGAGGGTAGCGTGGAACCCGACTTGGTAAGTGCCTCTTGTATTCTTAATTTGTCTGTACTTGGCTTTACGGTTGTTTGTATGCAAATTGACTTGAGACAAACATTTCCTCCACACTAACTGTTTCAATGAAATTGTAGGCTGTTGAAGAGGATAGAGCTGAGGTTAATAACGAAGTAGATGAATAGGTAACATCTAAAGAAGATGCCCATACACGAAAAAGTGGGGAACCCGACATGATTACTAACGAAGTAGGTGAAGAGGTAAATGTCTATACTTATTTAACTTTGTCTGTATGGAATATTCTGATTTTATACAGCTGAGGTTGTCTGTATACATTAAAACAGACAATATAGTGCCTGTACAGACAATATGTGAGTAGATTTGGTTAACATATTTCAGGGTCGTGATGAGGATGGAGATGTGGCTATTGCTGACACGAGGACTGCTGATGAAGAAATGGTAGTTCGTGGTCATGGGCTATTTAACGATGTTCATTTCTAAACCTTTCTAACGGCTAATGAGTTTGGGGAATGTTTGAAACTGTTTTAAATTGTTTAAGGATGTGGATTATGTGTGGGTCGGGACAGATTTCATATGTTATTTATGTTTAGTAATCTAAATTGTTTAAACACCAGTACGAACACCATTTCGCACATAGTTTTCATATGTTATTTATGTTTAATAATCTTCCGAACAGATTTATCAAAGTCCAGACATTGTCATCAATAATGTGATGAATGATGTAAGTGTTGTCAAGGTACATTTGTTGTATTGCTTTTTAAATCACACATTTTGTGATTTATTTTACAATGTTTATTTGAAATTTTAAGTTGATGAACGGAGAACATGGTTTCTTTGAAGAATGTCGTAGCCCACGAGAGTTGTTGTTGTTCAAGAAAGAGGTGAACTTACTTTAATTTCTTTTGTTACATTTCACTTCTACTTACATGTCAATTTCAAACATGAAGGGTATTGTCTGCGTGCAGACATTGTGTCCTCTTTGCATGATGTCTGCTTACAGACAATTATTTTAGTATGTGTTAACTTTAGGCTTGTGTAAGTGTGTAATTTCCCGTTGAGACATTAGATGAAATAAAGTTTGAGAATGTTGAGTGGGAGGACGTTGTAGATGAGGATACGGCACTGGTGACCGACGCCCTTCATGCGGATTTAACCCGACTTGAAATTTCTAAGTATCAGTGTAGTCAATTGGATGTAGATGTGTATAATTGGTTGAAAATGAAGGATTGGATTGAACAACCGGATCATATTGACCCTACACGTGTACACATTCGTGTACCCAGGTTACCTGATGTGGATAGGCGTTTTTTTCGGGATGTAAGTATATGTCTACAACCTAATCATTCACATAAGGTTCAGTAATGTGTTGCGACTTTGTTAAGTTTGTAATTTTTTATTGTAGCACGTTGATGCTGTCGTATACGTGCTCAATAAGGAAAGCAGAAGGACGAAATGTGCTTTAAAGAGTCCATATTTTATGGTAAAGTAATCTACGTTTATGCATAATTAGTACTTATTGACACACTTTAGTAATCACTTACCCATTTGTTTTTCAACAACTGTTGAATAAAAAAATTGACAATGAGGAACACTGGGGAGGAGATCGCCATCTCGTAAAAACAAAATGGACTTCCTTGGATAAAGTATGTTTTCGCGTACAAACGTTTTGATGTACTAAATGTCTGCATACAAACATAGGTAGTTGTCTTAGGTTTTTTCACCACTTAATTTGGAGGATATGCATTGGGTTATGGTTGAAATAGACCTTCGAGCTAAATTCCTAAGACTGTATGACTCTTTGCAAAGTGGAAGGACCGTATCAAAAGTGAAAGAAATGTGTGAAAGGCTCCCCCACCTACTTCGTGTTATAACTTGGAAAAGGGACGATTATGTTGAAGACGACATCAAGCCTTGGCAAGCTGTTTGCGTTCATGGTGTCCCCCAACAATGAGGAGGGTAAAACATCCATTAATCCCTTGCACATTTAAGATCGTATAACTATTGTCTGTCACACTATAAGATCGTATAACTATTGTCTGTGTAATGCGCAGTGGCATGATGTTAAGTATGGCCGAGCACCTCATGTTGGACCTCCCGTTGATACCGAGGTGCGAGTACCCCAACATGCACAATAAGAGGTGTGATTACGCAAAACGGCTTTGGATGATGAGAGTCAACAAAGAATGATGTCAATTGATGAAGAGTGATGTATATTTTGGTTATATGTAATTACAAAAACTTTGGTAGATACTCATATTTTGCCCACTTAGGTGTAACATTATTTGGTGGTTAGATGTAGTATTTTGTACAATATTGGCGGTGCCATGTTGTACAATATGGCTACAATGTGATTGCCTTTTTTTTGCTTGCCTTTTTTTTTGTCTTGGCAAAGCTATATGTAATACCACTTGTATCATCCACACTATATTTTAGAACTATATTATAGGACTACATATAGTTTTACATAAATACAATGTAAACAAAGACATTGTGTTGTCTGCGCCACAGACATTTCAGTACGAAGTTTCATGAACAATTCAAAACAGAGAAAGATTCAAATCTAAACCATCTTGGTAATGTAGTGTGGGCACCTCAACAACAATAATGTCATGTGTGGGCAGCTTTTTTGGCGCCCTTGCCTGAAATAAAATTGGTAAAATTATGTTTGTACATATGTGTTCATTGTTTGTACAAGTTTAAACATTGTCTGTTGTTCACAGAAAGTGCAAGGCAGCATACCTTTGCGTTAATTTTCCCCTTTTCTAGTAGTATTGTGGAAAGGGAAACATATGGCCAAAGTAGTTTATAAACATCATACAATGATCATACCACTTTCAAAAAGGACCATATTAAAATCACATTCAAAACCCACTCTATGAACTTCTGAATTATGGCAACATATTTGTAATTGTCTGTACGTATTATAAAACGTTGGCTACCTACAAGTTATCTGTACGTATTATAAACGTTGTCTGTATGTATTATAAACGGTGTCTGCACGTAAATAATACATACAGACAATGTTTATAATACGTACAGACAACGTTTATAATACGTACAGATAACTTGTAGGTAGCCAACGTTTTATAATACGTACAGACAATTACAAATATGTTGCCATAATTCAGAAGTTCATAGAGTGGGTTTTGAATGTGATTTTAATATTGTCTTTTTTGAAAGTGGTATGATCATTGTATGATGTTTATAAACTATTTTAGCCATAATGTTTCCCTTTCCACAATACTAATAGAAAAGGGGAAAACTAACGCAAAGGTATGTACATACATAATTTTACCAATTTTATTTCAGGCAAGGGCGCCAAAAAAGCTGCCCACACAGGACATTATTGTTGCTGAGGTGCCCACACTACATTACCAAGATGGTTTAGATTTGAATCTTTCTCTGTTTTGAATTGTTAATGAAACTTCGTACTGAAATGTCTGTGACGCAGACAACTCAATGCCTTTGTTTACATTGTATTTATGTAAAACTATATGTAATCCTATAATATAGTTCTAAAATATAGTGTGGATGATACAAGTGGTATTACATATAGCTTTGCCAAGACAAAAAAAGGCAAGCACAAAAAAAAGGCAATCACATTGTAGCCATATTGTACAACATGGCACCGCCAATATTGTACAAAATACTACATCTAACCACCAAATAATGTTACACCTAAGTGGGCAAAATATGAGTATCTACCAAAGTTTTTGTAATTACATATAACCAAAATATACATCACTTTTCATCAATTGACATCATTCTTTGTTGACTCTCATCATCCAAAGCCGTTTTGCGTAATCACACCTCTTATTGTGCATGTTGGGATACTCGCACCCCGGTATCAACGGGAGGTCCAACATGAGGTGCTCGGCCATACTTAACATCATCATGCCACTGCGCATTACACAGACAATAGTTATACGATCTTATAGTGTGACAGACAATAGTTATACGATCTTAAATGTGCAAGGGATTAATGGATGTTTTACCCTCCTCATTGTTGGGGGACACCATGAACGCAAACAGCTTGCCAAGGCTTGATGTCGTCTTCAACATAATCGTCCCTTTTCCAAGTTATAACACGAAGTAGGTGGGGGAGCCTTTCACACAATTCTTTTACTTTTGATACGGTCCTTCCACTTTGCAAAGAGTCATACAGTCTTAGGAATTTAGCTCGAAGGTCTATTTCAACCAAAACCCAATGCATATCCTCCACATTAAGTGGTGAAAAAACCTAAGATAATTAAAACTACAAATGTTAAATGTATGTATCCAGACATTTAGTACATCAAAACGTCTGTACGCGAAAACATACTTTATCCAAGGAAGTCCATTTTGTTTTTACGAGATGGCGATCTCCTCCCCAGTGTTCCTCTTTGTCAATTTTTTTATTCAACGGTTGTTGCTAAATACAAATGGGTAAGTGATTACTAAAGTGTGTCAATAAGTACTAATTATGCATAAACGTAGATTACTTTACCATAAAATATGGACTCTTTAAAGCACATTTCGTCCTTCTGCTTTCCTTATTGAGCACGTATACGACAGCATCAACGTGCTACAATCAAAAATTACAAACTTAAAAAAGTCGCAACACATTACTGAACCTTATGTGAATGATTAGGTTGTAGACATATACTTACATTACTCATCAACCATTTCTCAGGCACAAGGAGGTCCCGAAAAAACCGCCTATCCACATCAGGTAACCCGGGTACACGAAGTTGTACACGTGTAGGGTCAATATGATCCGGTTGTTCAATCCATTCCTTCAATTTCAACCAATCATACACATCTACATCCAATCGACTACAGTGATACTTAGAAATTTCAAGTCGGGTTAAATCCGCATGAAGGGCGTCAGTCACCAGTGTCGTATCCTCATCTACAACATCCTCCCACTCAATATTCTCAAACTTTATTTCATCTACGCATTTTTGAAGATCAATAGAGCATACATATATAGCTAATTAATTAAGACTGTACCCCGGCTTGACATATATGGCTGCATCCATCCATTTACTCTGACATTGCCACAATTTAATTATGATAAATTACTTCTATAAGGAAATTAAGTATGTGTAAATTACAAAAAATGGCTTGCAATTCAAAGCACCGGCTTCATGTACGGCGCTGCGAAAAGGAGTTGGGCTGCGCAGCGAGAAAAAGAAGGGAGCAGAAAAGGCCGGTTTCTCGAACCGCCGGCGCCGCTCAACACCTCATCCTGACCTTTATTTTTTTCGTCGTTGGCTCGTCGCTTCAAATCTATGGAGACCAGCCTATTGAACTTGGGATATGGGGGAGCGCAGATGACCGTTGTTGCACCACCTACCGCCGGCGGGAGTTGTTTTTGCCATTGCAGCTTTGTCGTCGTCGTCCAGTATGTCGTTGTCGTCATCCGCAGTTGTTGGTGCCAGCCACTTGTGACTTCGTAGAATATTTGGGGAGTTGCCGTGGAGAGAAAGGGAAAGAATTGAGAGAGAGAGAGTTGAAAGTTTCAACATGGTCGTCTGGATTAGCGAATAAGTTTTTGAAAGAGGCTGGAATTCTATGAGGGGCAAAATAGGCATATTCTTTAAAATTGGTCCTACTTAGGAATTAAAAAGTAGGTACTCCTATCCGCTTACATATCAAAAGTTGCAGTCCTATTTAACACCATTGCCAATCAAAATAACTAACAAAATCAGTTGTTATCAAACAGCTAAAACAATCATCTAACAGCTAACAACCGATTGTCAAACAAGGCCATTACCTTGATCCCTTATTATTTATAAATATTTTTTCCAAAAATATTATTCAAATGAAACTTGTTTATAATAATAAGATTAATAGCTACTATAGTACTACCTCCGTCCCTTAAAACTTTGCTAAAGTTGACTGACACGGAGAATAATAAAGTAAAAACTGTGTGGTTGAGGTTTGTGCAGAAGAGAGAGAAATGACAGCAATCACAAAATAATTGATTAAAAGGGAAAGTGGAAAAGTTTTTTAGGACGTCCAAAACAGGAAAAATGGCAAAGTTTTAAGAGACAGAGGGAGTTTAATTTTATAGTCATTGAAGTGAAAAAATTGAGTATAAGTTACTATGACTCGATTAATATGTCACATTTTATGGTCATTTAAATTTTATGGTCATTTAAGATGTCACATTTTTATGAATAAAATTTATTTCATATACGGAGTATGTATGTTAGCTTTTTCAAAAAAATACAATCCCAGATTCCCATACGTACGTATGTCAGGAAAGTTTAAAAACAAATCAATTATTTTCTCTTTCACCGTGAGAAGGGTTTAAGCTAATACTCGTACAGTCGTACAGATTCCTAAATTTGAAAGGTCCTTAAATTTAATCAATGAAATTGTTCACGGTATCTCCATTCAAGAGCTCCTTAAAATAGTTGCGGAGTATATAATAACTTATGGAGTATTATTTAATCTTTTATCAACAAATCTAAACAATATAATTTTTAAATTATTAAACATGTATAGTCAATTGAGGACTTTTGGCATTATAATTTACATTACTTTTTTTTTATCAAGGAAGTGAACAAACATATGCTGAACTAAACATGTAATTATTTGGGAAACTTCCCAAAAAAATGTGCAAAATGTAGGTGTTTTTCCTGGTGAATAAAAATATTATGTTCCATTCGTCCCTAAATTATCACCAAAGTACATTTAGCATGAGGATCAAGATAATGTGTATTGTGTGGTGATGAGTTATGCAGATGAAAGAGAAATGTGTAAGAATGTGTAACATATGTAGTGAAAAAAAAAATTATTTGCAAAAAGGAAAAGTGAAGATTATTTTAGAACAGAAGAAAAAGAAAATTTGAAAGATAATTTAGAGACGGTGGGAGTTTTTAATTTCATTATTAATGTCATTTTGAAAACATAAATTAACATTTGACACAATTTAATACTATGTAAGTACTTACTACTACTAAGAAAAACAAATTGCTTCAATTTGGCAAAACATGTGCTTATATATTACTCCTATTTAAGTCACAATTCTTATTACTTAGAAGGTGTTAACCTGAAGAAAACTCGAAAACGATAAAGTGGAAAATGGTCCTAACGAAGATTTTACTTTTGTTAGAGGGCCTAAAGATAAATTCTTAGAGAATTCTCAGCAGTATTTTACAATAGACGTTTGCCTAATGAAGAAAAACATGATAGAAATTGGCTCGTTTATTCTGAGGAATTTGATTGAGTTTTTTGCTTCTGTTGTAAGATTTTTAGAAAAGGCATGAGCAAATGTTCTTTAGCCAACAAGAGTCTTGACGATTGTAGACATCTTAGTGCCAGACTAAGAGAACACGAAACAAGTGCAGAACATATGAATAGCATGAGGACTTGAATAGAATTGAGACTTAGGTTAAAAAAGAATGAGACAATTGATAATAAAGTAGCTCATGGTCACCTTTTGAAAGAAAACCAGTTTCGGAGGCAATTGCCGTTTAAGGTGATCGCAACCGTGAAATATCTTTCTAATCATAACTTGGCCTTTCGTGGAACAAATGAACGGCTTCATCAGAATCATAATGGAATTTTTTTGGGATTAATTGAGATGCTGGGTGAATTTGATCATATTATACAAGAGCTTATTAGACGTGTTGACAACAAGGATACCCATCATCATTATCTTAATCGTAATATTCAAAATGAATTGATAGAGATGCTTGCTTCGAAAGTAAAATCTAAGATCATTAAAAGAATCAAAGAAGCTAAATATATTTCTTTGGTACTAGATTGTACTGCAGATGCTAATCACCAAGAACAAATGACTTTGATATTAATATCTATTGATATCTCCACTTATCCAATTAAAATAGAAGATTTTTTCTTGGAATTCTTGATTATGAGTGACACAACAAGTCTTGGCCTTTTTGAAGTGTTGCAAAGTGTGTTGAACCTTCTTGATCTTGACATTGACAATGTTAGAGAACAAAGATATGATAATGGATGAAATATGAGATGTACACATCAAGCTCTTGGATATAAATCCTAGAGGATGGTACACTCCTTTGTGGTAGTCAAAGCTTTAATTTGGCTTTGTCAGACATTTAAAAGGAAGAGTTTTTTTTGGAATAGTGCACGTAACTCACTCACTCTTTGCTAGTTCAACAAAAAGATGACAAGTTTTAAAAAACAATGTCAAATGATTAACTCTGAAATTCTTATCAAAATTCAATGGAAAACTCGTGTGGAAAGTGTCAAAGCAATCAGGTTTCAAACAAATGGCATTCGAGAAGCCTCACTCGAATTGGTGGAGATAAAAAATGATTCTAAAATATAAAGTGAAACTAGATCATTAGCTACAAATGATCTTTGTATTTTTTTTTTGCTTGCTACAATTATTAGGTATACAATATTGTGTGTTGTTAATTTGATTAGAAAAAACTACAAGCAAAAGATATGCTTCTTGATGTTGAAGTCAAAGGGCTATAGAGGATATGGGTTTTCTAGTGTTATGCATGCGATCAAAAAATAGCCAATGAATTGGAAGTTGAACATGTGTTTCCTCAAAAGTGTGTAATCTGTAGAAAAAACAATTTGATGAGAGCGCAAATGTTCTTTGTCATCCACGACAACATCGGAAGAGCTGTTCAGTGTTGAATACTTTGTCTACATAGGTATCAATCTATGGGCTCATTGACTCGAAGATTTGGGCAATACAAAGGGTATGAAAATATGTTAGGGTTCTTGTTCACTTCTGCGAAGTTGCGATCTTTGAATGATCTAGATTTAGTATCTTGTTACACTAGTTTACAAACAATTCTGCAGAGGGATGAACAATGCAGCAATATTGGTGGAAACGATTTGTTTGACCTGAAGTTGCTTATAGAGATTTTTTCAAATGAAAAGATGATGGCATCAAGAATATTGAATTCTTTAGAAGAAGAAACAAAGTTTTTTTTTCAAATGCCTTTATTACATATAGAATTAGTAACCATTCGTATAACTGTCGCCTCGGCAAAACGAAGTTTTTTAAAGCTAAAGTTGCTGAAGTACTTCTTGCGGTCAACTATGTCACAAGTGAGATTCAATGGATTGAACGTTGATATCAATAAGATTTCAAACAGATCAAGAGATTGACATTGCAAGTTTGATAGATGACTTTGCCTCTAAATACGTTAGAAGAATGTCTCTGTTTAAACGAAAGATATTTGATTAATCACTACTTTTACATTTATTATTATGCTCATTAATAACTTGTATTTTGACACTAATCACTTATGTTGGATCTTGAATAAAAGGCCCAATTTTTTTGTTGCCTAGGAGCACTATTTTTTTAATTGAATGCCCAGTCTCGTCTCAAATTAAGGTTGTGACTAACGCGAGGAGTGTAGAATGCTCTAGGATTTACATCCAAGAATCTTTTTTGCACACCTTGATGCGTATCCCTCGTATTTAATCCATTATCATATCCTTATCCTCTAACATTATCAATGTTAAGATCAAGAGACTTCAACACACTTTGCAACACTTTGAAAAGGCCAAGACCTATTGTGTCATTCACGATCAAGGATTTCAATAAAATTTCTTCTATTTTAACAGGATAAGATGAGATATCAACACATCTTAATATTTAAGTCATTTGTTCTGGGTGACTAGCATCAGGAATACAATCTTGTATCGTAGAATTATATTTAGCTTCTTTGATTCCTTTTAATGATCTTAGATTTCACTTCCGTAGCAAGCATCTCTATTCATTTTGAATCTTACGACTAATATAATGGTGATTAGTATCCATATTGTCGACACGTCAAATAGGCTCTTGAATAATAGGATCAACTTCACCCAGCATCTCAATTAATCCCAAAAGATTCCCATGTTGATTCTAATGGAGCCGCTCATTTTTTGCACGAAAGGTCAAGTTATGCTTAGAAAGATATTTCACAGTTGCGATCGCCCTAAACAACAATTGCCTCCAACATTATTTTTCTTTCAAAAGTTTATCATGAACTACTTTATCATCATCTCATTCTTTTTTAACCTAAGTTTTAATTCTATTCAAGTCCCCATGCTACTCATATGCTCTCTACTTGTTTCATGTTATCTTAGTCTGGCACTAAGATGTTGCCAATCATCAAAATCTGTGTTGCCTAAACAATATTTTGCCCATGCCTTTTCTATAAATCTTACCACAGAAGCAACAACACCCTATCAAGCTCCTTTGAATAAACGAGTCAATATCTATCATATTTCTCTCAACCAGGCAATTTTCTGGTGTAAAATACCGCTGAGAAACTTCTAGAGAATTTATCAGTGGGCCTTTTGACAAAAGTTAAATCTCTTTTAGAACCATTTTCCACCAAAATGTGTACCAACTTTGAATCAAGAGAATTCCAATTTCTTGGACCATATATGTCAAACAAAGCGAAATTATTTGCCGTATCATCTAAAACATTGATTACAATTTCCTCTTTATCAAGATTGTCAGTCACATCATTACTAAAGTGATCTGGTATTTCAACATGATTTTCAACATCTACATTTTGTGGTTCACATCTTGAACCCCTATAGCTTCTTTAATAATAAATTTATCAAGAACTCCTTTTTGAGAAAAGATTACCAAATACCAATTATTGAAATTCTCCCCGAATATTGTACGTGTTTAAAATATTTAAATTTAAATTCTATTTACTATTTTACATTTCGAGTGAAATCATGAAATAATTATAATTCATAAACCTAAACTTAGTACTTAGTAGTTACCTAATTGCGTACTTATATCAAATTCTTAAACACATTTATAATCAATTCAATACATTAATAAGTAATAACTGCAAATCTTCCAATAAATAAACAAATAAACAACAAGGCAAGCAGTAGGCAACAAACTAATTTCACTAATTTAAATTTGCAATTCAAGCAAATCAGAAAATCATAGTGCTTAGTTGCTTACCGGTTCCTGCGGCGTGTGGGAGTGCGGCTGTGCAGGTAGCGGCCTAGGATGGACTGGTAGCTTCAAAGTGTTGTACTGCGGATGGTGCGGTCAACGGTCATGGTCGTGGAGGCTGGAGGGTGGAGGCGGAGCGTGGTGGCAGGCTGAAGTCTGGCAGTGGCTGGCGGCGCTTGTCGACTCGTCGGTCAGTCATCCAATCGTTCCACACTTTCTTTTCCGTAATTTCCCTTCTACCCTTCGTTTTGTATTTCCTTAAGCTTGGATTTGGGCTAGTGGGCTGGCAGATGAGTATAGAGTAATATTACTGATATAATTTTTTTGGGCCTTCCAAAATTTTTTTGGGGCACTGTGATTGGGCTGAGTGCACCTGCGTTGGGCCAACATCTTTAAATTTGAATAAATTAATATCTATACTACAACATTTACAATGTATACATATCTCCTTTTCAACCTTTTCTAATAAATACATTATGTATAAAAAATCCTCCTATTTGACTAATTTTCTCTAATTATTTTCCTGTTTGTACTAATGAATTACAAGTAGATATGAACTAATAAAACACTAATTCTCTGCTCCATCCTTCCAAAATCCCCAACCAAATTACCAAAAGGAACCCTAAATGGCACATATATTGATGTTACATTTCTATTATTAATCATTGATAGCAAGGATACTTTCAATTTTCAGGTGGTTTAGTCTTGTCCGATTTTAACCGCTTTGATTTGTTTAGATCTATAAGGCGTTTGGTAGCATATAAAATAACGATGTTCCATGTGAAACGTAAGGATTAAAAAGTTTACACAGTTTGACTTGATTATTTAATGTAAACGGTATGACACTCTATTAAAACATTTGACACTATACCATGTAAAATATTTTACGTGAAAAGAGTGGTAAAATACTTCGCATCTTTTTTATGAAGCACTATAACGTCTTTGTGTGCACTTTAAAATTAAGTTATACATCTAGTCAAACAATGTAATCTTTTTTACATGCAATTTGATTGTTTTTCTAAACTTTACATGCAATATGATTGTTTTTCTAAACTTTACATGCAATCATTTCACGTTTAAACTATGAAACAAGCCCTAGTACTATTTAAACTTATCTAGTAAAATATGCTATTATGTGTATTTTACTATTGTTTCAATCTAATTAATTTGAATTTGTTCTAATTTGGTATACGCTTGAACCAAGTCCAGGTGAAAAAATTTAGAGAACTAGCAACAACATCAAAGTCTTAATTCCACAAGATTTTGGGTCGGCTAACATGAATTGATACATGATATCGATGTCATCCTAGATGATGCACTGAGCACGAGTAGCGAAAGCATACTCAATGCAACAAACCAGTCATCATAGAACTAGCAAAGAAATAAAAATACTTATAAATTTTAAAAGCCTAAACTAAAATACGCCTAACTCGCTAGAGAAGCATAGTATAGCGTTTGTGACAAGTTTGCAGTTGGAGCTTTTAAAGTAACACAAGTTATACATCAGTCTAAAACTTGGCTTTTGTTCTAAAGCCGCTACACTAGTGGCACTACAATGCCAAACCAAGCCTTGCTCCGAGATTGGCAAACCCATATGACTCCCTTATGGAGCCATATGAGGTGTTGTAGGGATGGACTCGGGCCGGGTGGCCCGACCCGGGACCGACACTGTTCCGGCCCGGGCCGACCCGGTGGCCCGGTCAGTGACCGGTCCGGGTAGGCCCGGCCCGTGGGTTTTCCGGTCCGGGCTCGGGTCACCCAAAACAAGGCCCGACCCGGCCGGGCCCGGTTCGGGCCAAATTTTTTTTTTTTTGTTTTTTCAATTTTTTTTAACTTTTCGGGTTGGGCTGGGTATTTTGGGCCATTTGGGGTGGTTTGGGGGGTTGGGGGTGGGAGGGGGGTTAATTAGGAAGAGGAAAACAAAAAATATATATATATAATGGGCCTGGCCCGGCCCGGACCCGGTGGTTACCCGGGCCGGTCCCGGGTCCACCATTTCTGACCCGCCGGCCCGCCCGGGCCTAGGCCCGACCCGGACCCGGCCCGGACCCGAGTCCAACCCTAAGGTGTTGTGACACCGGTGGAAAATGAGGTGTTGATGGGACCACAATACCCCATATGACTCCCTAAGGGAGTCATATGAGTCTCTATAAAAAATTGGTCTTTTGGGGCTTAAATTACATTTGTTGTTCAAAAAATGGTACAGGGAGCCCCCAAAAACAAACCATATGCAAAGACTTGTTCGAAAAAGATGGTAAAGTTGGAATTTTGAAATAGAGTAGGTTCTTATCATTGTAGGAAGTCTATAACTAGTTCAACTGTTGGCATATTACTAACATGGTTTCAATAAAGAGAAGACCCCAGCGCACAATTTCATCTATTTTAATGCACACTACGAATGATTCCATGTAGATATCCGCCTGTCATAATAAGGGAAACCAAGGAGACAATACCAGCTGGGAAGACCTTCTTTGATGTCATAAAGCGAGAGCCCATTACACCCAAAAGCCCAGCAGAGAGGACAAAGCCCATGGATGATGCAAGAACAGGGTTTGTTGGAAGCATGGTGTAGACACAATACAAAAGTGAAGCAGAAACTCCACCGGCGATCAACGATTTCTGGCTCCCACTCTTCAAAAAGCCCATCACTCCACCAGCCCCAACAAGGAAAGCAAACCCCAATGTCAACTTCTGTGACATGGAAAGACCTGCTTTCCTTTTGCTGTAATCAGATTCCCCTTCATTACTACCATCATCATTACCGCCATGACCTCCATTGTCATTTGAACCACCATTAGGGACATCTCCAGCACCATTACCACCAGAATCTGGTAAAACGTCATGCCCTACTCCAGCTGAATCAGTAGCAAAGTTGGACGCAGCCTTAAAGTCAGACACAACACCAGCATGGACACCCCACTTGAATATGTTTTCATGAGTGCAAATACGTGGAGACTGTGCACGCAACTCAAGAAGTGATCTCTTCGCCTGAAAAAGATGGCATATGATTTAATAGTTTACATGGTTTTCAAAGGAGTTCAGTGTGTCTGCCATTGAGCCGCAAAGGCGTCACTGAAACACTTACGCCTTACCCTCTATTACTAAGGCTTATGCCACCATTTTGTTGAGGCGATGAAGCGTAGAGGCGAAGGTGGTGGGCGTAGAAGCTTAGGAGATGTGTAAGACTCAAAATCGACATTTGGGCTGAGTTTTTAAAATTACGGGCCTCAATTTTCTTCCTAAAAATTAATACGACTTCTGTCCCGAAAAAGTTCGCCATATTGACTTTTCTTGGTCAATGATGACAAAGTTTGGAAAATGATTTCAACTATATTTGTATATAACTTATAAATTTTATACTTATATAAAAATATTTTCAATAAAGAACTTTTTGAAATAGAGCCTATTTCGTAACACTGAAATCGGCTGAATCGGCTGATTCTGCTCAAATTTATGAAGTTTTGGCTGAATGGTTATATTGACTGATTCTGCTGATGTATGACAAATTAAATTTAAATATATTTTATTAATAAAATAAAGAAAAAATTATATGTAAAATAGCTAAAATGGTCTTCTACAGTAGCTTCAGCTGATACAGCCAGAAAAGCAGTGGCGGAGCCAGGATTGATTGACAGGTTACAGGGGCCAGGGCTTAAGGAATTTATATAGCAGGGGCCAAAACTTAAATTTTCACTATATTTTTACTACTTATAAATATTTATACATATATAAATACATCACAATTTTTTTCTTGCAGGGGTCGTGGCCACCGCCAGCCCCCCTGTCTCCACCTCTGCAGAAAAGTAACTTCAATCTTACTTTTTCTTATTATTATACATTTCAGTGTACGAAATTATAAGTTACGTGTTTGGTGAAAAAGTTGGCTGATAAGCCGAAGAACAATGTTAGCAAACGGGCTCATAATTTTCAAATTCAAAATAATTTCGTATTAAAAAATATCATTGGTCAAAGTTGATTGTCATTGAACAAAAAAAGTCAATTTGGTGAACCTTTTTGAGATGGAGGGAGTATATGAATTACCTTAAAGGTCTTAGTAAATCATCGATCATCATTCTTCACTTAGTCCACAACCCTAGGTCCTTGTTTAGTCGTCTTCAACAACACGAGACTTCAATCGCTGCTCTCTCGGGAGAAGCGTAATTATCCGAATAATTGTCCGAGTAATCACTGCTCCAACGCTGAGACTTTAGCTGCTCAGTCCAGGTAATTATCCGAGTAATCCCACCACCACCTTATTTCCTTAGTTTTTTATGTGTTTTGGATTTTTTATTATTTAACTCTAATATTTTGTTTTTTAATATTATACTACTAGCCTAATTACACTATATTTTGTTTTTTAATATTAGAGTTTTGATTAAGAGTGTTGTAGTTGCTTAATTACACTATGTAAAATTATTACTTTATTTAAGATGTTTATCAATTAGTTTATTTATTTGGTTTGACTAAATTTACTCAAATTTATTTGGGAACATTGAGAGCACTGTCAAAGGTAAGAAGATCACGGTGAGCAAAAACCGCTTGTGCAACATACTTCAAATCCCCAATGTGGGTTCTCGTGTTGAAATGAACTCCAAAGTAGTGATAACTGACCCTGCTTACAATGAGATAGCTGCAATGCAAGAATTTGGACTCGATGAAGAGCTCAGGGCCCGTTCTCTTGAACCCCAGGAGAGACTAATCGCATATCTTCTCAACTTCAACAGCTTACCACGAGCTAGAAACATGGCTCCTTTCATCATGATGGATATGAGGGGCGTCGTCAAAACCAAAAGAGGTGATAAAAAATTTATTTACCCTCTTTTACTTACCATGATATTTAGGGTATTTCGGCGTTGACCTCACAAATGAAGAGGTGGAGTATACATCCGGATCCCAAATCTTGAAGGCAAGTATTATGATGTCTCTCCAATTCAAGAAGGTGGGTAATGCATGGGTCCGCAAGGACAAGGACAACGAGGACGCCGATGAAGAGATGGCGGAAGAACGAGCACAAGCCGCAGCACGGCCACGACGGACCATGACACAGAGCCTTGATTATCTCATTGACTCCATGGACCGCATGCACACAAGGATCGATGTCTATGAGACTCGGCAAGAGGAGCTTTACACCCGCTACGATTCTTTTGAGGACCGTCAGGCGAGAATCGAGGAGCATTCGGAAGGATATGACCGCAGGTTCGAGCAATTTACCGAACACTATTACGGTCAATATGGGAACCCCCCTCCCGGTCCACAATATTGAAGCCCTTTTGTTGTTATTTTCTGTGATACAATCTTCTCTAAACACACTTTATCGTGGATGTTGATTGAAGTAATTGTTTATCATGCATCATCATACATTGGGACAATGTATCTTAAGTGTGGGAGGTGCATTTCATGGTAGTTAGATAAATTTTATGTGCAAAATATTTTCTTTTTAGGAAGGTAAAAATCGTGATATTTTCTTCTTTTAACGGGTATTTGGTTGAGAAAGGTTTTTTTTATTATTCACGAAAACTATCATTCTTTTTAGATTTATTACATTACTCTTTACTCTTGAAAACCATTCCCAAAATAAACCTTGTGACTAGGAAACACCATCTTCTTTACTTCCACAAATGGTTTAAGTACATCTCAAATATTCATGAACCATTTTAGAAAACAAGTCACCCCCATATCTCATCAAATAAAATGGGATGATCAAAATGACTTTCAGTAAATGCTTGTTGAGAACCAATTCAAATGAGTTATATAAAAAAAACTTATGTTCTCTTTCAAGAATTTCAACTGATCCACTTTTATACTGAAAAGTCAAACACAACAAAAAGCCATCCTACACACCCGGAAAAAAAAATCCTAGTCACAATCCACTCATCTACTCTCAAAGGATATAAATAATTTTTTTAAATCTAATGATAGTTTTGTGTGTCTAATAGAAAAAGGGTTTTGTACCGAGAATGATAAAGAGTTTATATACATTTTTTTACCTCTTAAAATTGAAAATGATCTTGCACATATTTTTGTTGAACTAACCAAGACATCCATAGGTGACAACATTGCTCGAGGACTAGCAACGCTCAAGTGTGGAGGAATTTGATAAGCACAATAATTACCTGTGTTTTACGTATGTAATAATATTTTTCTGTACAAAAATATAAGGCAAAAACGGGTAAAAAATTCCAAAGTGAGCAAAAAAGAGGAATAGACTAAAAGATGTCATTCTTTAGCCTATATAAAGCCCTCAATTCATCATACAAACACATCGCATTCCATAGATTAATTCCTAGTTTATATATTTGTTCTTGCTATTTTTCTTCAAGTTCTTTTGGAGAAGAAGCTATTTCTCTACTCTACAATTGGTTCTAGGTAACTTTTCTTGTATGTTATTTTATTTCCTTGTTCTTAGTTACACTTTTGTAATTAATATGAGTATTAGTAGCTAAGGCTAGGGATGAACTTCTATTCCCATTAGATGTTTGATAAAAGTTCTAAACCAATAAATTGTGATTTATCCTTTATATATTGATTGTTTATGACTATGGTGTACAATATAGAAGTATGTTAAATTTAGTTTATACTTGCAATTAACGTTGAAATCTAAACTATGAATATTTAAGGATAAACATATATAGTATCGAGAATAGAAATATATGCAGTCTTATATGATACGGGTGTGATGTTTTGATATTCAACGGGGTTTTCGGTAGTAGAATGTTAGCCGTAACGGGACTTACACGTAACGAAAATCACGCTCTCGCTGCCTTAACCGGAGTTGAGATTATATTAGCGACATCGTATTCATAATTATTGGCAAAGAACTAATATTCAACCCTATTAAAGTATTTAACTGATTCCCGAAGCCTTAGTTGTTGTTATCATTCATCTTAAACTCAAAATTAGTTAACAATTATCTTCTTGAACAAAAAGTGAAAAAACCAAAAATATAAAACACAAATCAAAATCCCTGCACTTTACTCATTTCTTCATTTAAAGCTATCTACTCTCGGACTTGGATTAAACAATGTTTCCTTATGGATTCGACTCGGTATTTTACCGGAATTTATTACTATATCGGCACTTGTACACTTGCAAGTTTAGCCCGGTCAGTAATTTAAATAATTAATGTAATAATAAACTGTTATATAAAAAAGTTGTTAATTAAAAAAATGTTAATAATAAAAACTGTCTCAATACATAGTTAATGAATCAGTGTTATAACACTATAATATATAGTCTTATATTATTATTATTTAATAAACTATAAAATAATACAGATTTAATTAATAAACTATCACACGAATACATTTGTGTAGCAGACTAGTTTGGCTAATAGGCTCTGTATTTTTGTTTCATTAATCAGTGGTATTTAAATAATTTTATAAATTTAAAATTTAAAATAAAAGAGAATAACTAGAAGAAGAAAAAAAGAGTAAATACTTACCTGCGACGCGAGATAGCAGCGAAAGAAGCAGGGTCGGAACTGCTATGCGAGATGCAGCGGAACAAATAGGGTCCGAAGATGTTTGCGGCGCGAGATAGCAGCGGCAAGCGGAAGAAACACCAAACACAAAAGGGAAGGAAGAAGGGAGAAGACTATTGAATTGGAATCACCAAAAAACTTGGAATTGGAATCGCCAAAAGACTGAAGTAACTCCATCGAACACTCCCACCCATGAGGCTTGAGAAGCGCGCGCCTCTAAGAAGCGCAAAAGGCGTCAAAAAGCGTGGATTAAGGCGCGCCTCCTGGAACCTACAGCGCCTGGGGGTGTAAGATGCGATAAATACATCGCCTAAGTGCACCTCGCGCCTTTCAGGCACGCTTTTTTAATACAAGGTGGTACCATGCAAAAGTGTGCTTGAAAATGTAAAAAAAGATATGTTCGTGTTGTTGAAGAGCTATTAGGATCAGAAAAACATTAATGAGAAGTTTTTTTATTAGATGGTAGATTGTGAATCGTACTTTAGTGCTTCAAAAGAAATTGATTTGAAAATTTTATTAGATCACAAACTCGGGGGCCCATCGATCGCTTCATTAATCATTTCGGAATTAACTCGGAAGATGGAGCAGGCGAGCAAGAGATTGTAGAAGATGATACGTTGCATAGAAATATGAATAAGACCACCATGAGAGAAATGCAACCTCGTGTGTCAAGATGCGAGTAGTTTTATCTTTGAGAATGCAATAGCATTTAATGTGGCTCAAAGTATATCTTATTTTAAATGATGTTAGTAATTATGGTGGAGGTTTTAAACCCCTCTATGCATGAGTTGCTGACATGGATTGTGAATGCTAAGTACGATACCACTAATACATATGTGAAAGAAGTGAAGAAAACATGACCGCACACTGGAGTTCCAATAATGTCTAGTGGGTGGAGCGACATAAGAAATCGTGGACTTCTTAATATACTTGTTAACAACCAATATGAAAATGTTTTTCTCAAATCTATTGATGCATCAGACCGAGCTAAAAATGCAATATATCTTTTTGAATTGCTTGATGGAGTAGTTAAGGATATAGGTGAAAGTCTGATTGTGCAAATCACAATAGATAATGCAAGTGCATATAAAGATACTGAGAGATTATTAATGGACAAGAGGAAGCCTTTGTATTAAACTCCATGTGCAGCACATTGCATTGATCTCATGCTGGAGATCATAGGAGAATTAACACAATATAAGAGTATGCTAATCAAAGCTACGAAGGTGACTATTGACTAATGTTATCTCACGAGGTTTGCTACTATATTTCTGACTTTAGATTGCTTGACCACAGTGAAAGACCCTCTCCATAGACGCTTTGTTTCCAAACAATGAACTTGAAGTCGTTATAGATATTTAGTTCAGGGGAAGGGAGTTAAGAGAATTGGGATAATGATAGAACCTTTTGGCCCAGTATTGCTTACTAAATAAAAACAACAGTCATTAGTTGAAGTGTTGGGAGATGTAGATGGTGATGAGCTGGCAATGGGATTTACCTATGGTGCTATGGATTTAGTCATTTAGCAAAAGAAAAAATTGAAAAGAATTTAGGAAATCAATATACGATATATAGTGAGATATGGTGGATAATCGATGAAAAGCGGGAGCACCAGTTGCATAGGGACTTGCATGCCGTTGCATATTATTTGAATCCTAGATTCAAATGGTAGGATGACTTCTCTATTCATATGGAGGTAAAGCAAGATTTGTATGCATGAATGGAGAGACTGATTTGTAATAGCGCTGATTTTGACAAAGCTGATGCCCAAATGGATGAATACCCATACAAGTGTGGCTTTAAACTATATATTTACATATTTTATATGTAAATTTTTATGTTTTATTATCAAACTAAAAATGCACTTTTTTGCCTCACCTAAACTGAAAACTCCAGTTTGTAAATACTAGAAGTACATTTTGTCTTTAAAGACTACCTTGTTTAGCATCTAGAGCTGTAAAATTGCATTTTTAGCTACTAAAGCTGTAAAATTGCATTTTTAGCTACTAAAGCCGTAAAACTGCAGACATATTTTTTACTTAATTCTAGTGGAATGGTGGGATTATTTTGGAAATCATGTTCCGGAACTATGTGCTTTTGCGGTCAAAATTCTTGGTTTGTCGTGTTCTTCCTCGGCTTGTGAACAAAATTGGAGCACTTTCAATCAAATTCACACCGAGAGAAGGAATCGTCTTTCTGTCATTAAGTTTAACCGTATGATGTTTATAATGTTCAACAAGAAGTTGAAGTTTAAAAAGAACCAAATACGAAAGAAAGAGGAAAATTTGGTAATTGAAAATGTATCATCTGATGACGAATGGATTGCTGAACTGAATGAAGATGAAGAAGAAAATACAACTGGAGGTGATGAAATTACATTAGTTGTTATGAAATGGACAATGAATTTACTAATTTAGAGGTTCATAACTTAATATTTTATTTCTTTAGTCATTTCAATATAATTATTTATAGTTATCATATATCCGATTCATTATCTTTACTATGACTATGTATGTATATAGGAGTGAAACTTATGGGTAGAAATGAAGAAGATAATGAGACCCGTGATACAATCTCCCAGCAGCTTTATACGCATTTGCAATTTTGCATCATCTGTTATGATTTGCACAATCACACTTTCATCTATTTTCTCAACTACTCCATCAAGTAATTCAAAACCATATATTGCATCTTTAACTCGATCAGATGCATCAATAGATTTGAAAAAAGTAGAGAAAAATAGTTCCGCACTGGTTGTTAACAAGTATATTAAGAAGTCCTCCATTTCTTATATCTCTCCACTCATCCGACATTATTGTAACTCCAGTTTGTGGTCATGTTTTCTTCACTTTTATCACATATGTATTAGTGGTATCATACTCAACTTTCAAGATCAATGTCTGCAACTCATGCATAGAGGAGGTCTAAAACCTACACCATAATTACTCACAAAATGCACCATGTTAAAATAAGATGGACACCATGCTACATTAAATGCTATTGCATTCCCAAAGAAAAATCTGCCCACATCTTGACACATGAGGTTGTATTTCTCTCTCATGGAGGTCTTGTTCCTTTTTTAGGCGGCATATCATATTCTATAATCTCTCTTGCTCGCCTGCTCCATATCTCGAGCTAAACCCTGAAAGATCAATGAAGTCGTCGATGGGTCCACGCGATTGTGGTCCAATAACACTGCCAGAACCAATTTCTTTTGAAACACCAAAGTACAAGCCATTATCTACCATCTCATCAAAGAACTTCTAATTAAAGTTTTTATGATCCTGATAGTTCTTCAACGACAGGAGCATATCCTTTATTACAATTTCAGGAACACTTTTACATGGCACCACATTTTTATGTGTTCCCGCAACATGGTCTTTAAGCCTCTTCACTCCACCCATGATCACCTTATTACAGTACCTCCATTAAACACATAACCGCTCTTTCATTCATTAGGGTTCACTTTAAATCCATGCTTCTAAGCAGGATCGTGATTAGAACTAGATCCATCTTCTTTATTCTTACCGTGTTCAACCATTGTGTGTGTGTGTGTGTGTGTGTATATATTTATGGTGACTAATCAACTCAATAGCCAGGTCCTATGAATGAAATGATTATTACTACCTATATGAATTTGAGTAAACTAGTCAAACCAAATAACTAAATAAATGAAAACAATAATTGATAATTAACTTTAATAAAGTAATAATTTTACATAAGTGTAATTAAGCAAACTACAACATTCTTAATCAAACTATAAAACTCTAACAATATTTATGTATCTTTATTTTATTCATTTTATCTTACTTTTTTTCCTTTTCTTGTCCGCCTTCTCTTTTTGGCATCGATATCATAGATCGATTCATGTTAGCCGACCCCAAATTCTTTTGGGATTAAGGCTTGGATGTTGTTGTTGTTGTTGTTAACGTAAATCCATAAATGATAATTGACAATTTGAAAATGATAATTTTAAAGTGTAAACTAAAAAATAATAAGACTAAATGATAACTTTAATTGATAAGTCCGGACTGTAAGACTGTAGCCTAGTAGGCAAGTCGTAAAAATATTAAAAGTTTAAAACCTAAAAATAAATAATGAAAAATTTAAAACACATTAAAACTAAAGAAATAAGGCGGTGGTGGGATTACAGGGATAATTACGTGGACAAAGCAGCTCATATCTCACTGTTGGAGCTTCTCGTGAGAAAGCAACAGCTGAAGTCTCTGATCGTGAATGTTGAAAGACGACTAAACGAGGACTTAAGGTTGTCGACTAAGTGAAGGACAACTATAGATGGTTTACTAAGAGCAATTAGGTAATTTGTGTATCAATTTTTAGGAGGAAAATTAAAAAAATAAAATTGAGGCCTATACTTTAAAAACTCAGTCCAAGCATGGAATTTGAGGCTTACGCTTTATCGCCTCAATAAAATGGAGGCGTAAACATAAGATTTAATATTAGCACGTAAGGCTTAAGCCTTATAAACATTTGAATGATGCCTTTGCGTCTCAGAGGCGGACGCACTGAACGCCTTTGAAAACTATGCCTGTGATACGGAAGGGAATGAAAATGAGAATGACATTAAAAAAACTTGGAGGATGATGAAATGAACGATAGGCTTGGTTTTGAAGATTTATAGTTGCAATTTTCCAATTGGCAAACTTAAATCCCCGATCCTTTTATGCTCTTTTGTGTTGGATATTTTAGTGCTTTATCTTCTTTTGACTTTGGTATTTTAGAGTTTTATGTTATTTCAACTTGGATAATTTATTGTTATGTTCATTTTTACTAATGATTTTGTTTAGCTGAATTATTATTATGAACTATCTATATTATCTGATATGTTATAGCAAAACTTTAACAAGTCATTTTGAGGCTTATGCCTTGGTATGCCTCGCGAGGCTACCGCCAACCTCCTTGGGGCCTGATTTAGCTTTTCACAATCTTGATAGTTTACGATCCGGTATTGTCTGGTCAGGATGTTTCTAGTCTAGTCAGGCTTCAATGCTCAAATGCTTCTGGTATGGTTTGAATCTTTCGGGTCTAGTCTAGTCTTTTCTTATGTTTTTCTTTGGGACAGATTTAAATAATACTACCTATGTACCATTAAATGGGACATGAGGAAGTGACTATTATGAAAAGTGAAATCATGTGGTTGATTAAATTTGCAAAGTGTGAATAAAGTAAAAATGAATTAGAACCACAAAAGTATGACAAAAACGGCATGAGCAAACTAAGTGGAACGGATGAAAATGGAAATATGAGACACAGTGAGATGCATAAAGTAAAACTTAATTCGTTCAAATAATAAGGTGAAGAGAACAACACCTTAGTCAGAACATGCAGTGACAAGGGCATCACTGATGATGGTTGATGATGACCTAGAGAAAGCTGCCTTTGGCACCAACCTTGGACCCGGAAATCAGGAAGTAGTATGGAGGACTGTGAGAGTGCCACGAATTCTCCCATGATTGTTTACTAAACAATTATGTGTTGTATATACCTGCATATTTGAGGAAAAATTCACTTTCATGGCTAATGGCTTCCCAAAAAAATAAGTCTCTTCCCTTTGAATGTAATCCAGTAGAAACATAATCCACAAGAATCATATAATAATGGCACCATGGTACATCGATCATTTGCATAGACATATATAAGAATGACTGAATGATAACAAGAAAAATTGTTGCACCATTATGGGGAATAGTCTAATATTCATACATCAGGGATGCAACATAAAACACTACACTGTTTATGAGCTCACTACTTTAGCATGGCTGCAGTAGATGATAGCCAGATTTGTTCGGAAAACCATTCTGCATAATAATAAGAACACAAAAGCTTTTAACTACTTTCAACAAGAATATTTGTTGATACATATCCAACGGTAGTTCCCCTTATTGTATTCCCGAACTTCGTAATGATACAGTCAGTATATGGCATCCCATTTATCTCTTACATTGCACTTATCATTATCTTGGTCATTTCAAGATAGGTCGGGTTTCAGTTTATAATAAAAACAATCAGATCAATGCCTCAATGTTTAACAAACAAATTAACCAAAATTCAACATTTAACTTCACAAATCCACGATATCCGAGATTATTTAATTAGTTCCCAATATGCAAATTCAAAAATCAGAATAAACAATCCGTGAACTAACATATTGAATACTTCATTAATCATTACTCCAAATTATAATAACATTGTACTCACCTAAATGAGGCGAATTGAAAATGGTAAATGTCCAAATTGAGATTTAGAGCAAGACTGCAGACACTAATTCCCGACTCTCAAGGACTGGATGCTTTGAAAGTTTTAAAAATTAAAATCAAGCTTTAGGTCAAACCAAAATTAAGGAACGAAGCTTATATTACCGATAGATTTTAGAACAGACGGAGTCCGGAGGTTGATGCTACGAGGACTCGCTAGTCAAGGCTCGAGTCTTTTGACGACGGACTTGGGGCCGAATGAAATAATCCGTATGTAGGGGGTGTAAACAAGCTGAGCCCGAATGCTCGAGTTCAGTTGGGTTTATTTACTTAGCTCGAAATCTGCTAGAGCTCAGCTCCAAGTACAATAATATGCATGAAGCAAAATTTAGGTTCAAGAGTGATTCGAACTTGGGTTACAATGTTAACTATTTAAGGAGAATTCCATTTAACTACAAACTCATTTGTGGAAACTTTGAACTTAAATAATTATTATACCATATATATATAGACACACACACCAAGGCTTGCGAGCAGGCTCGCGAGCCACGAACCTAAAATAAATAGGCTTGAATTGAGCTCGTTAAATACTCGAGCCGAGCCGAACTCGAGTCGAGTTTGAATATGACCGAACTCGAGTCGAGTTTTTATCGAGCGAGTCCCGAGCGGCTCGCGAACGACTTGGCTCATTTACACCTCTACTCCGTAGCAAAAATGGGTGATAGGTAGGGTTTGGCGGGGAAAAACCAGAATAAAAATAAATCTCAATCAAAAATTGAACTGCAAAAAAATGTAAAAAATAAAATCGGATCATAATTGTTCGGTTCATGTTTGGTTTTTTACCCTTTGAAGCTGAATTGAATTGAATAAACCAAACTAATTAGAATATGAATTTTCATTTCTTAATTGTTAAGCATTAATCCTAGTATCATCGAAAGTCTTTGATTTCTTGTACAAAAAAACTAATTTTTGGGTTATGTTTAGTATAGTTTATAAACGCATTTACACATTAATAATGTAGCTATTTTCATATACTATATCTTTTATGTGTGGGTGTTACAACTTGTTGTAAGATGATGATACCTCATATATTTTATTGGTGATTACTAGTAATTAACTTTAATTTATACTCCCTCCGTTCTGAAAAGGTTGGTCAAATTTCCTTTTTTTGGATGTCCCAAAAAAATTTGTCATTTCCATTTAAAGTAAGGAATATGTGGCTAAAATTAATTCTTTCTCCTCTCCACAAATTTCAACCACACAGTGTTTACTTTATTAATCCACGTGAAAGTCAATTTTGACCAACCTTTTCGTGACGGAGGGAGTATGTAACTTAAAGTTTTTTTTTTATTCCCAAAAGGCAAACCACAAAATCGTGGGGTAAATGTTGGGAGTCATTTACCTAAATTTATTAAAACGAAAAGAGAGTACATGAAATCAAATGCAATGGAAGTACAATAATTAAAGAACTCAACAATTAGAGAAATAAACATGAAAGTTTTGTCCAGCAAACTTGGTATGGAGACGCGTTTGAATATTACTCATTGTCACCTCAGTGCGTTTTTTGGATTTTTTGGAAGTGACTACAGTGAAACCATCGTCCTCTAAAGGGGTAGAAGCAATGTCTTTTTGAATATTTAAGATCTGCAAGTAGAGCTGATACTCTTCTTTTGAGTTTGCAATAGGAGGTCTATAGAAAACATCATAAGAATTTGCAAAACTATTACTTTGTTCCCGTTGCTCGACGTTGTGAGGCCTCCTCCTTTGAAGAATCCGAAATAATGGCCTCAGCATTCTGGCTATCAGCAAGCAAAGCCATGTTGAGAGGCATAGCATCTAGAATTTCTCCTGATATTACACCTACACCCTTCCCTACCACGCTTGCTTCAATAATGGGGCTAAAATCCCGAAGAGCAATCCGTGATTCATAACAAGAAGATGAATAACCATAATCAAGTAGATCGGCATGAAAAAGAAAGGAAGAAATAGACTCAATGCTCTCAGAAGCATATTTCTCAAATGCAGGACACGAGCAAATAATCACAAAGTCTTCTAAACAATTTTGCAAAACCTCATTTTAGCCTCCTTCAATAAGTCTAGTTGGCGGAGTAAAGTCATATAGAACAACTGAAATCCTTTTCCTTTATGTCCTTCGGGCACAAAAATATTGGTATTAACACCTTTTCTAGACATATGTTCCTAGACATATAAAAACACCATATCTATTACTCCCCATAGATAAAGTCGTTTTTCTAGAATTTCCAAACCTAGTGAACTTCCAAGAAGAACCAGACTGAAGTTGCCAAAAACTGTCACAGAACCAGTCAAATCCACCATGATCAAGTGAGATACAATGAATGAGAGAATCCTTAACTTCGGTGATTTGCAAACCAAAAGATTGCGGAGAAAAGCAAAATAATTTGCTCTCAATTGTAATGCAATTCGAATCATTGGCGCCCAATCGTTCAAACCTACTTCGATGAGAAGCAAATCTACATGAGTTTTCCATTGAACTGTCTGCCGCCAATACTCTTGTCCAGGAAAGATTCCATGTGCCTGTCTCTGTCTTGCTGCAAAACCTCCATGTGAACCGCATCCTTCTGCCGTTGGAATCCAGCGCTGATTGCCTCTTCTGCAATTTCCAATACTTCTTCTGTAAGGATCACTAATCTCCCGACTTCGTGAAGAGTTCCAACCCACCTGCGAATATCTCTTTCCCACGCCCATCAGTGTATCCTTCCCCAAACCGACGCCAAACCGACGCGAAGCCTGGCCTCCAAATCTGTGATTTCCCCCCTTGCCTAGCCTCCCTCTCATGCCCGTCGATGCATCCTTCCCCCAAATGACGCCAAAACGACGCCATGCCTGACCTCCAAGTCTGATATTTCCCCCCTCACCTGGACGCCAAATCGTGCCCTTACCTCTGATTGTCGACGTGGCTAGGTCGCCGCCCTTGCCGTGTCATACTCCAAGGTACTTTAAATCGATGATACGCCCCATCGTCGGATTGCCCGACCTGCATTTCTCTCACACAATTCTTGTATTATTGCACATATTTTTGTATTCTCTTAAAATATTTAATGGTTCAAGGAATAAAATGAGTAAATTAAATGACATCGGGGATTTTTATAGTGGTTCAAGGAACAACTTGTTCCTTTAGTCCACTGTTCCACTAAGCTTGCAAAAACGACAGTTTACAACGCCTTAGTCCCTAGAACTTAAGAAGCTCTACACGTCTTCTTCAAGCCTAGTTGCCACCCGGGATGCAGTCCTGCTTCCTGATGGCTGGTCTCGTTTCACTGAGTCTCTTGGAAGTATCACCACTTCACTTACTCCAGATAGTTTGAGACGCCCCTTCTTTTTCAAGAAGTGTTTGATTCAAGATCAGTTTTCTCCAACGTTGCTTCTTCACAAAGGATGTGTAGATGAAGTTTTCGAAGTGTTGAAGAACTGAGGAACTTTGCTACTTGTTAGTTGGATGAAGGATAAGAAAGTTTATCTTCCAACTTGAGCTTTTCTTGTTGAGGTAAGTGAGTCTTTGATCTCAAGAAAGCTTGGAGGTATTTAGTTCAGAGTAAATGATCTGAGCAAGTTTGTGTAGCAAAAGTTATCCTGGTAGTCTTCAGAGTGTATCTTATATACTGGGAGCAGTCTTCCCATTGGAGTGTAGAAGACAGCTTCATTAAATGCTTGTACTGTTGACATGACCGGTTGGACCTTCGACTTGCTATTTTGGGGGCGCGAAGATACTCGCATGGTCAATCATCAGCTTTAAATATATCTTCGTACGTACATCATTAATTGAGCATTTAATGCGTGTAAAGTACCATGTTCCCGTCGAAAGGTTCCTAGCCGTTAGAGGATTTCCCGTTAGTTTAACGACCGTTGGTAAGTACCTTCGAGTTCTGCTAGGTACGAGCATGTCTGATGACTCAGATGGCAGCTTCTGATGCCAACTCTGGTATCCAACTCTGATAGCTTCTCTGGAGAGCAACACTGGGAGCAACTCTGGTAGAAGTTCTGATAAGGAAGACCAAGAGGGTTTCTGGCATGTCGACTATTCTAGTACTTACAAAGACAAATTCTAATACAAAATTTCTACAGGGGTACTTTCAAATTCTAATCAACCTAGCATCATCAAAATCTAATCACATTTATTCCTTACACTCTGTTAATAACTTGCATTGAGAGTGCAGTCTCAATGTGGTCTGTTTGAAGTCAGCCCAGAGCAAACTCTTCTTCTCTTACCATTGTAGGGGCTTTGAGAATGAGGTTATCACACGAGGACATTCGCCATTTCCTCCATTCCAGCACTCTGATTCGTTCCTGAAATAGTAGCTCTTTTTCCCCAGCTAAATAAATTCTTGATTCTAGATCAGTGAATTTTTCATCGGGTATGAATATGGGAGCTCTTCTCTGTGGTGCTGATGGAGGTGCTAGTGTAAGTTCAAGGGATATTCTGTTCATTGAGGAATCCATTTGATTTGTGATGATGATACTTTGTAGGATTTTCTGAGGATGATGAGCTTTTGAGAGTGAGGAGTTGGGTGTAGCTAAGAGCATATTTATAGTTAGCATGCGTTAGTCTGCATTCAATTTGCTTGTGGAAATCGAAGCGTCTCTTCATTAATGATCTTGTGGTTGTCTCTCTTTTCATAGCAAAAAACAACTTCGATAAGCGAGTGAGGTATTGATAAACTCACTTGGCTTATTAATGCGGTTGCCTTGATCGTGTCATTGATGAATGAGTCAGCTGCTTGATCACCATGTGTCGTTGTAGGGTTTTGCATGTAACCATAAATTCTTCCTGCTTTCTTTCCTCTGATTTGATTGAAGATAATATTCTCTCACACTCATTAATGTAACACCTTACCGAATGTCAGCATGCTTTTGATGTAATCAAGATTAATTCCTTCTGCATAGCTGAATTCAGATAAATACTCCATATTTTATTTCAGGATATTCGTTGATCGATTTGATCCTTCAGTCTTTGAGCAATATCCGTTCTTTTTGGATTTTCAGATAGCCCATACTTTGAATAATTTCCTGAAATTTTTCTTGAAACATTTGAGTTGTCTCAAGTATAAAATAAACTGGGAGTTGGTGTTTCAACAGAACCCTTTTCTGTTTGACCAGGAGTTCTGTTCCTCAACAGAACTGCTTTGAGGTGTTCTGGTCATCAACAGAAGCTTGAGGTATTCTGTTGATTTCAGCAGGCAGCCAACATTTTCTGAAGAGTTTTGTTTTGTTGCTTTTCCTACTGACATCATCATTCTTCTTTCCTCCTTTCTAGAGTTTCTGGTGGACCATAACCAATTCTCCTTTTGAACGTCTCCTTCTGTTATCCATAACGTTGACCGATCTCTGCCATAATGATTTGTTTTTATTGAACAAATCCCACCTGATCCTCAGAGTTAGTCAAGTCATCTGGTTTCTAAACTTTGTCAATTGGAGTTGATTAGATGCATTTGAAGCCTAGAATACTCTTTGAAAGAATAAGTAGCATTTTAGCAAACATTTCTTTGTTGCCCACAAATCCTGTGGCTCTTGTTTTAGCCTGTGATTTGAGAGTTCGCCAATGCTTTTTCATCACCATTTTCATTTGAATAACCCTCAATCCTTTTGTTGATTGTATCCTCTTGAAGCTTTTTGAACATCCCCCCTGTGTTGATGATTGAGTCCTTTTGACTTGTAAAATTAGAATTGGACATTCTTAGGACACTGTTGTTAGCATGATTTAGTTTTTTAACAGGGTGCTCCTAAATTAGGACGCTGCTATTTAGTAGGTTGCTCCCATTTTGTAATAGAACACTTGCAAGGTGCTCCTATTACAAACAAGACTCTACAAAATAGTAGGATGCTCCTTTTTGAATTAGGGTCCATTCCTTAAGTTTTATTGAGGTGAAGAAGTTCCCCCTCAATCTGTGATAGTCTTCTCATAAGCAAGATGAACATAATAATGTTTGCCTTAAACCTTTGAGTAGTTCCCCCCTGAGTTTTTGTGATTAGGAAGAATACCTTCAGTGTTTTCTGGCATATTTATTCCTTCTTCAAGGTTGTTCAACATTCAAGCTCTTGCTCTGAGGAATAGAAGTGCTGGGATCCTTTGTTGACCTGAGATCTCACTGTTGTAGATATCATCAAAATCTACCTTTAGTGCAATATGATCCTAACAATCTTTGTGTGATGTTTGTTGATGCTGGTTCAGTCCTTCTTGAATAAGGTCAATCTGGTTGGGATTGAACATCATCTGATACATCCACTTATACCTGGTGGCCGGAGAAGAAGATCTTTTCAGCTGATTCTTTGTCAGCAGTTTTTCAGCAAGCAGCTTGGAGCTTACTGTCTTGAGAATCTTTTCTTTCCAGTGAGCACATCTTTGATGACATTCTTGAGAACAAAATGTCTTCTTCTGTCAAAGACTGGCGTGTGCCCAATAGATAATTCTTAAACCATTAACATAAGTTGTGTTAATGATCCGAGAATTTCATTTTGTTTATTTCCAGTCTTGACCTTTTTATTCCACTCAATACTTCCATCATCTTTTTGCCTTGTTGGTTCTTCCTTTCCTTTAAGAGAAGTAGTACCATTCATGATACTTATGAAAAACACACAATAGTCTTTTGATATTCATAAACACCAGTTCTCAATTGATGAATAATGAATTCATTAGATCTTTGTTTGTTTCATGATATTGATTGCTCTCTTCTCCCTTTATATCATTGGATCTCTTTTGAACCTTCACTGATCCTTTTGTGGACTGGTTGACTTTTCAAAAGTGTTTTCAGTCAGAAGGGGGTGTGACAGGTTCTCTGGTATGGGAGTAAGGATAAGGAGGGTGTATGATGATGTGGAAATATATAGTTGGTTACTAGTCCATTTGTTTACTGGGTTGATATGGATAATCGATGGACCAGTAAGTGTATTGGTTTTCTGGGGGTTAGGGACAGATTTTATAAAGTCATATTCAATGTCAATCCAGTGATCTTCATTAGTAATGAACATAATGAGATTTCTCAGTTTTTATTCCTCATAAGATTTTCTTCAATCATCAGATTATCCTTTTAGTACTGTTGCTATTTTCGGATTTTCTGATGTTTCAAGATTTGCAGTTTGGGAAGGAATAACTTTATCTGAATGTTCTATGAAGTGAAGCACAGTTGGGATAAAGGTGTGAACATTCAAGATAAACTGAGTTACTGGAGATGTATTTGAATATACCTCTTCATGATCATCTTTTCTTTGTAGAGTTGGCCAGAATTGTGATGTCATGATAGTAGGTTTGACTTCTCCTTCTTTGTTGAGCAGCAGTCCCTTTCCTTGTTGTGTGATCATAGTTTGCTTTCTCCTTCCTAGTCTCTTCTTTAAAGAGTATCCTTCATAGTGTTTTCCATCTCTGTCCTATAAGTGTTTTGGGAGATTGGTGGTTGATCTTTTGTTCAAAATAAGCCGGTTAAAAACCGACTCTATGAACAACCGCTCTGATACCAATTGATGGTCCCAAGTGAGGTAGAAGTCTAGAGAGGGGGGGTGAATAAACTTCTAAAAATCTTTTCTTTTCAACCCTTTTTCCTCTAACAGAATGTGTTCCAATATCTTTTGGCAGTCATTGAAACATACAGCGGAAGTCTTGACCTCAAGAGTGTGACACTTTATAGGAACAAAGGTTATGACTCTTTTAGTTGTAACAGAGATGGGTGGACAGAACACTTTTTGTGTGAAGGATTTAGACCTATTGTCATAGATCTCTTTGTAGTGCGTAGGTAAGGAGTTTTTGGTTCACAGAAAACTTTAGGGAGTTTTCTGGTCAGTGAATATGCAAGCCTTTGGGATAGTATGAAGGTGAATGAGAACTGAAGTATGTGTTGGGTGCTGAATGTAAAAGGTACACAAGATATATCCTAGTTCAGAGGTGGTGTAATCCTCCTACATCCAGTCCCAACCTATTTCATATGGATTTTCCACTAAATGAATATCCCATTACATTTAGTGCCCAATCTACCCCTGGCCCGGGCATAGATTGTGAGGTTTTTCATGAGGAACCACACTGTTCCAAGCTACTCATGTCCTCCAAGGTTTTTCACTAATGACTTGCCTAGCCAGAAGCTACTCATGTCCTTGCCTCACCTTCTGGATGATCACACACATCCCAGAATGAATACACTAGACTAGTTTACATGGGTTTAAACTAATCTACCAACTAATCTAAGCTCTATAGATGTGTATGAATGATAAGCTATTCTAAGAGCATTAGATGAGTGGGGTGGTAGCCTGAGTGGTGAAGGTGAATCAGCTAGCTGGATGTTTTCTTGTAAACCGTGATTCCCTTCTGTTCCACTGGGTTCCAATATACCAGGGTTTGTTGCCATCTGGTGCCACACTTGGTCTTCCCGCACTCCTTCTGTATTTATAGACTTTGTTGTTGTATCTCCTCCGTTGGCTGAGTGATCCAATCTTGATCGTTGCTTGATCTACTTGCTTTGTTCCACTTGACTGGGCAACATGGTTGATTCTTGTCTTCTTGTGACACGGATCATTTTATCTTCACTCAACGTGATTCCTCATTTCAAGGCAAAAATAAGATGATTTATCTTTATCTTTTTAGCTTTCAGAAATTCAGTATCTAGGCCGAGTGTTGTTCAATGCATTCCTCAAGATAAGATTACTTGCTTTTAGTAAATAATGTTATAAGAAATTTTGTCACATAATTTCTTGTAACATTATTTTCTATGCATTCTGTCATTCTGACTGCAAGTTGGTCTTCTGTCTTTTTGTTTCTGTGCTGAGAGAAGAATAGCAGATGTTGAGATTCCGATCAGAATACCTCAACAGAATACCTTACCAGAATACCTATGAGGTCTTCTGTTCTGGTGTCAACAGAGAACTAGTTTGAGGTTCTCTGTTACGATCATGACAGAAGGTCTTTCTGATATATATCAGAGACCTTAACATCGGTGTTTACCAGAGTTGATCAGTTCTGATTGTCATCAGAGTTGAGGTTCTCTGTTATGGCCAGAAGGTCAATGAAGGTTTTCTGATTAGTTTATTCAAAAGGGTTTCTGTTGACTCTTTTCGTACCTTTTTGTTTCTTTTCTCTTTGTTTTATGGTACGTTTCTTCTCTTTTTAGTACTCTTTGTTTTTCTTGAGTACTTTATCACTTTTGAGCACATTACAATAAACAGTAGTAGAACAAATACAAGTGCTAGCCTATTACAGGAATATTATACAAAAAGGGGTGGCATCATCAAAACAATACTTGTTCATCAAAATCTAGGGGACCTAACAATGTATATTAATATTATATTTTAATATTATATTTAATCTCATAAATTTTAATATTGTATGTTAATATTTTCAACTTATTAATTACTAACATAAGTTTTATGTTATATTGAAAATGAGTATAATGTTTATAATAAATGTGCATCACGATTAAAAGAATTGAACATACATAATTGAATATCTGAGCACGTTAAAAAAAATTATATGAGCATACGAAAATGAAAATTTGAGCATACTAGACACAATTCAAATGAGGTACACAAATGCAAACTTGAGCGTACCGTAGATTTTAAATGAGCTTTTTGAAATTTTCGTTGCTCAATTCATAAGTTATGTATGCTCATTTGGTATTAGGCAATGTTTATTTTAAAATGTTGCACATTTCAAACGTATCATAATACATTATGTTAAACTCAAATGAGTATAAAGTCCAAAATGAATGAACATACACAAATGAGCTTTTGAATTTTTTGATACTCATTTTGTAAGTTATGTATGCTTATTTGGTACCTCTTTATGATCATTTTAAAATGTTGCACATTTCAAACGTATCATTTTACATTTGATTCATAATTGGAATGAATAAGTTAGACATAATTTAAGAGTTTTTATAAATGCAAAAATAATAAAAAGAAAGTGAATTAAAAGATATGAAGCAGAGAACACTAACCCGCATTCTTAGTCTCCTAATACTCAAAAGAACAAACATGATGTTCAACAAAATGACGTTAATGCTCATTCGAGAGAAGTTGTGTTTTCATGAAAATTGAAAAAATGTCACCGACTGTACTGCTGGCACCGTACAACCGGTTCTATAGTATAAGCTTCCCGTACACCGGTACGAGACATGCTTAAAGGATTGAATAATGACAATTCTATGTAACCTCCATATACCATATCTTGTCGACATCAACTAATTAAAATATTGTAATTGAAGACGTGAGTTTGAACAATTAAACGGAGCCTTTTGGAGTTTTTGAACCGGGTAAGTTTTGCGGTCTCGGGTTGGATAATCCGACCCTTGGTTTGAAGATGGATCCGGGCCGTGAATGATATTCCCCTCTCATTGTCACTGGTTGCACCAGCAAGTTAGCCAAGGAAGCAGGCCAGGTCCCCTTCACGAGAATGACCATTTCCAACTCTCTTTGTTTTCTTCTCTCTGCTTGTCCTCTTCCTTCCCTCGGTATGTGTGTTTGATACTCTTCCTCCCACCCCACCCCCACCCCCACCCCCACCCACCCTACACACCCCAAACCCTTGCGTACTCTTTGCTCTTTCTACTGTTTCTAGTTGGGATAAACTATTTACCCTCATCACCCTATATCATTTTTCAACTACCAGCAGTAATTGTTTATTACGATCGAAGAAGAGAAGATGCTTTTACTTGGACTCTAATTTGGTGATCTGGTTTAATCAGTTTAAATCTAGTTTGATCTCATCCGACCTGTTTAAGTGCAGTCTGATCTAGTAAACGTCTGATCTCGATGGGTTTAGGCACATTTCCAGCGCATTATTATACTACTCAATAGGTTTTATGATATGTACGATCCAAACAATAAAAATGTGCATGTTCCCATGTTTTTTGAAGACAAAATTACAAAAGAAAACTAAAGTAAAGATGATAATATAAATAAATAATGCTAAAATTCGTCAACCCCACCACGCTGCGTCCTAGACGTAGCTGCTAAAAGTTACGCAGAGAGCCATGAATTTCAGCACCAAAAGAAATCTGAAAAAGGACAATACTTCAATTCTTTTAGTGCAATCATGGACAAAAGCACGATCCCAAAGCAAGAAATTACTTTTAATTTCTTTATCAACTTATAAAAGAAAAACGGAGTAAAAAATAGAGTAAATTGTACTCGTAATATTACTCCATAATTTGTATTAGTAGACAAATTAAATAAATATAATATTTGACGTCCCAAGGTAGCTTCCTAGCTTTGAAAATCATGGGCTTGCCATGCAAACTAAAAGACACATCTTTTCATCTCCTGAATAAATTAATTATATTACTCCTTACACGCAAGATCATGTTCAATCACAAGAGTATAAATTCAGCAGCTCATCAATTTATGAAATTACACTCATTTTTCCATTATGTTTATCGCATTTTTTCTCATGCTTATTTGTCCAGCTCCTAATTAAATATTTATATATATCATACAAATTATGCGTCAATTTTTCTGTAATTTTACTCGCTTATAGTAAAGTCGTGTAGTTAAGAGTATAAACTTACACACAGTAAAGGGTTTCTGCTGAAATAATGTTGAGATCAAATTTTTTGTTTGGATTTGTAAATTATACTTGCAAACACAAAAGTTCTTAGCAGTGTGGAAAGTTATTAATTAGTCATAGAACGTACATTATCTCTAAGTGATGAAAGCAAAATGACACAATTTAATAAGTGCATTTATCAGAGAACTTATAAAACTAATAAGCAACTTTAATTTCTCTATACAATGTGGCTAAAATAAAAGCTCATACCTTAATAGTTTAGTATAAAATACATAATTGGATTTTTCCCTAAACCAAAACTTAGTCCCAAACATAGCTTAGTGGGAAGTGGGGGAGTAGTGTATGTCAAAAGCTAACACTTTTGTTGAATGAGAAGGCACTACAACAAATAACCCTTAATGATAATTGATCCCAAAGTCTTATAGTACATGCATAAAGTTGCTCAATCAAAACACCAAAAATAGTTTGGACACAAATAAACATACACATTGGTAGATATGAAACATGACATGTATTGCAAATGACAGGTCTGTCTTTTCATTTTTTTTCTTCTTCTTAAAGATCTGAAGAGAAAAAGTAGGGGGCCAGGGGATGGGGGGCTCAACTTAAAATTAAAGCAATGCTTCTTAGCTGTTACTTTATACACCAACTTAACCTATATAGACCTCAAGAGAGCAAATTGAACAAGTTTTAGCACAACTCCATCTCCATATATTTTCAACCAGCCCATCCCCATATGTAAAGTGATTATATATAATTTGAAATTATTGCACTCAAATCCCACAAATTTTAGAAGTAAAAAAAAACATCACTCAGCTCTTTAATTGAAATGTTGTTGCTCCAACCATGGCCAGAATCCAGACTGATCATCAATGCCACAGAACATGCTGGACAAGCTTTCTTCTTTGACCACAGATTGTTCCATCTTGAGGCACTGATGATGCTGATGATGAAGATTATTATCTGATGGCCTTGAAGATGGTGAGTTCTGAAAGAGGTGATGGGAGGCCATTCCAGCTGGCCTCATACTATTGGGAGGGAAAAGAGACCTGCCACTTGGATGGCTGTCAATGGCTGGTGTTTTTGTTCTTGAGATGTCCAGCTTTATCTCTGAGCTGTTCTCACTTCTATTGCTGCAAGATCCTTCTGTTTCTTTGTTGAGGTTTATGGATTCTGTGGGCTGTTGATCCCTGTTTTTTAGTGCCATTATCTGCCATCCCACTTTTGTAAATTAATTTCCATTCAAAATGAAAACATCCAAAATAATAATGAAAGAAATCCCGAATTTATTAATTACTTCAAGTACAATTCCATCTAAATAATTAAAACATCACATATTATCATACATATTATTATCATTATTTTTTCGTAAATACTACTGTAGTATATAAGAGTCATTCGTTCATGAAAAGATTTTTAACAGTTTTTATCCTTTCATACATATTATTATCATTATGTCCGAATCACATCCTAAGGATTTTAGCTTTAACAGAGAACATATAATTCTTCATAACTTTGTCAAAGTTGACCATCACGTAAAATAATAAAGTAAAAATTATGTGATAAAGAAAATTGACAAAGTTACAAAGGAAGGAAGAAGTACATACTAAAATAGGTTAGAAATTGAATACAGTAAGTTTTATCATAATCCTAAGAATATAACAAATCAGTTCTATTTGTAAATTTAGTACGTACTCCGTAGTACTCCCTCCGTCCCGTATTTAAGTTTACACTTTGACTTTTTCAGTCAAACTTTGTAAACATTGACCGTTAATTACACAAAACGGTATTATTGTATTATATCAATATAATTTTGAATTCTTCATTTTCGTATATATTATTGAAATGTTGGTTTATTATAAGCTTTAATTAAGAGAGGGAGGGGGTGTATTTTTTACTTCTATTTAATTTTACACCATTATTCTTTTAATAAAATCTAACTGAAAAAAGAGTTTTTTTTAATAAAGTCTAAGGACCACTTTGGCATGCATTATCAAAAGTTTTATATCATAGACGGCCGATTTCATATACACTACTCTATCCCAAAAAAAGTCTATGACTTGACATGTCATGACAATTGAATTAATTGTAGGGTGGAAATTTATTTGAAAATGAGAAAAATAATATTAGCACCCAATCTTAATCAGAAGGTAAGAGGAATCTTTTTGAAGAGTTTTAGAAGGGGTTAATCATTGGGTCAAAAGTCAAAGTTTCTCACCATCAAAATAGCCAACAATACAAGGTTATCACAGTTCCATATTTAGGGTTACACTGTATTTACCGACACCATTTTTCACGTATTTGAACAAGAAGCATTTCTCTCATTATTTCTAAATGATGAAAATAATCATGAGCAGCCAAGAAAGTATTTCATTTCTCTCATTCCAGAGTTCACAACATTTGTAAATCAATCTTTTCTTAGCCAAGACTTTGACTTTATTTACTTATTTCTAGTATCAATTTTTAATATACAATTTGGATTTCCATACTTTGTAGAAATTGTGATTTCCGATTATATAAACTTTAGTTATTAAAATTGATGTTACCTTTTGGGGGGAATACATGCTTTAATTTTATCATCATTTAATCTTAAAAACAGTAAATTGCATTTCAATTTGGGAGGAAAGAAGCTAGTATTACTCAGATCTACAGACACTATATGACTTCATTTCACCTAACCACAAACTTTAGTTTGTTTGAACAAAAAATACACTAAGGCATTTATGATGAACCACATTAAAATCCTCGGATGTGATAATTGAGAAGTAATTAAGTCAACTCTTCACCAAATTTAGAGTGTAGCAATAATATAACTACATGATTAATTGTGTATTGTACCACCTACATTCTCCTTCAATTGCAACACTTTGAATTTTAATATGCGCAGTAACTATGTCTAAGTAAAAGTTATAGAAAGAGTTCATATTTTAAAGTTTTACATTAACAAAAATTAATATACAACAATATTTTATAGGGAGTATAAAATTATTTGTTTATACTACCGTCCCTTAAAGCCTTGTATATTTGACTTTTTAAATCAATGATGCTAAAATTTGTAAAATATGGACAATGATTTTTATTAGTATAAATTTTCTACTTTTATAAAAAAAAATTCCCATAAAACATTTTTTATCCTTTTTATATTATAGAGTAAATAATTTTCTGTAAAATATATAAACGGTCAAAGTTTAAAATGATTGATCAAGAGACTCAAAAATTTCAAAGTTTTAATGGAGGAAGGGTACTTATAGCAGCACATAAACATGCTCAAAGTAAGGTACTGAATAGTTCAAAAGTCAAACCTTTGAGATCAATAAAGAATTAATGGAGGAAGTATTCTTTTATAACTCTTAGAACATACAGAGCACACAATTAATTAATTAAAATTTTAAAAAATACAAATACCAACCTCAGCATGAAGCTTCTGGTTTTGGGCTTGGAGGGCATCATTTTCAGCTTTGACAGCATCAAATTGTCTCTTAAGGACCTCATAGTCTTTCTCCAACTGCTTGGTCTTCCATCTAGCCCTCCTATTTTGAAACCAAATGGCAATCTGCCTTGGCTGCAGCCCAAGTGCCCTAGCCAGCTGCATTTTCCTCTCAGGCTCAAGCTTGTTTCCCAACTCAAAGTTCTTCTCCAGAGTCTTCACTTGTTCCATGTTCAACCTCCTCTTCTTCTCTCCTGCTTGGGACCCATCATCTGACAGATCATCATCTACTCCATGTGCTTCTTCACAGTTTTGTGTTGTTTCCACCCCAGAAAATGCCATAGATCTCTTCCCTAGAAATGAAGCCACTCCTAATCCAACCATGATAATAACAATAATCATTAAAATCATCACACACCAAACAGGACATTCAAAGAGTATATATCACCAAGTACCAAAAAAGTATACCATGCCCTTATCATTCCAATGATCACATCAAATCAAAATGATAAATATATATGAAACCCTTATTCTATATATCTCTGTGTGTACAAACATAAACAAATATATATTATGAATAGAGAGGGAGAAAAGGAGAGAGATGAACCTGGGAAGTCTTGAGGAGTGCAAGAGGGAAGGAGGGGATTGAGAGATGTGGAGGGTTGATGGTCATGATCTTCATGAGAGGTTTGGAGCATGAAATTTGTGGGGAAGAAAGCCATTTCAGTGCAAGTCATGATAGCCTTTGGATTTGGTTCATGCTTGGAAGACTGACCAAACAATTGAAGCTAGTTAGCTTATATATCTAAATTCTGATCAGATTGATATAAGTAAGACACTGGGCTTTGATTTGTTGTGCAAAGGAAAGCTAAAAAGAGAGAATTGAAGTAGAGCTGTTTTCAAGAATCGACTTTGAGTATATATATTTCTTGAGTTGTACTAAAAAAAGAAGAGAGGGTGAGAATGGAATTGGTTCGAAAGATTGATGTTATCATGTTACGTGTATTACTATACCTGTTCAGCTTTAACAAAGCTTTTCCCTTTATTTCTGTTATTTATTTATTTATTTATTTATTTATTTATTTACATATTTATAATTCGGTTCTTTCACATATATGATTTTGGATTTGTAGTTTACCTTAGTTAATTAAGCTAGTCTACATTACCGGCCAGGCATGTATGTACTTACCATGCATGCCACATAAAATTAATTATATTATATCATTTAAATTTGATTTAACACAGAATAATACTCGTACGAAGTATTTCGTATTAAGTTTTTGGGAAGGTATGTATAGGCAATACGAAATATTTTTAGTGTATCTTATTTTTATTATATATAAAAGTACAGGAAATAAATATATAATGTATTCCATTGATACCAAATATTTTTAGTGTACAAATATGGACATCTTTGTTTTGTGCTTAAACTACTCTCTAGCTTTCGTTATATAAAAAGGTACTGCGTAGTTTTTTTTTGAAAAATATAAAAAGGTAGTTAATAGTAATTTATTCAGAAGTGAGTTGGTCATAGTTTTAAGAAAAAATCATAATGATATTAATAAAAGCAGGGTGCTAATTAAGCAAACCACCTTCCAAATTATTCGAGATATATTCGATTTCGAATGTAGCTTGACTCGAATCAAATTTGACTTCGTATTCGAACTCTACTCAAATATAAAAAAAGTCAAGTTATATATATAAATCTCAACTCTTGAAAAGCTCTCATGCTACTCAATTATGTGTTAATATCGATTTTTCAAATTCACATATTAACATTATATTATACTTATATCCATAGTATGGATCCATACATAAAATTATATCCGGACATATGTCCTACTAAAAATATACGATAGTACTTCGTATTAGAAATTACCCCGTAACAATGTTTCTTAAATATTTTAGGCAATCTTTTAAAATGTTTTGCATTTTAAAGAATTGGTTTTATTTTTAAAGAATGATTGTGAATTGCATATATGTGTTTAAACATCATAACAAATCAAACTCAAGTCAAATTATATATTTCTCGACTTGAATGAATTTCGGCTCAAACTCGAGCTCGACTCAATTTTATCAAGCAAGATTTGATTTTAGCCGAACTTAAACTCGACTCGCTTGATTAGCACCTCTAAATGAAAGGATTGTAATATATTAATCTGGTTTATGAAAATTGCCGTTGTTATTTCTATTATATCAACAGAGTACAGTTTCGTTTTTTTTGATAAATTTAGCTAAATGGTTTTAAGCAGAGGCATCTTACTGGTTCTAAATTCTGTACGGATCAGTATTATTCAGACTACTTTATCTTAAGATTAATAGTTAAGTACTGGTGATGGGGAAATTTCCTGGATTTATAATAAATAATATTAAAAGTTCATATAGCCTTCATTACAATATATTCGATACTCCCCACAATATACCATTTTAATACTACGTTTTAATAGATTAAATAACCCTTTTTCCTTTGATTCTATTCGAAAAAATAGTAAGAGTATACGGAGTAACTATTTTTGATGTAACTGAAATTGTAAAATTTTCTATTTTAGTTTTGACTCAAAGACAAAAGTGGGCAGTATTCAGCCATGTAGGTTTCTGCAGTGCCAGTTGTCTTTGAAATTTTGATTAGGACTTGCGAGGGCAACTGATTCGTTGTAAATAAGTAAGGTTGTTTTTGTTTTGCCTAAGTAAATATTGGGCAAACAAGAGTACACTTGAAACTACCCTCAATAAGAAAACATTAATTTTCTACCTTTAATACCTCTAATCTAAATAACTAATTAATTCCAAAATAGGACTTATTTGATCATATTAAAATATATAAAAAATCGAAAATATTTTTTTAAAAAATAGAAATGATAAAAGTTAAGAAATTAAATTTTTTAAAAAATAAAAACTTTAAAAATAACTAAATATAGAAAAACACTTTAAAAAATATTTAAAAAAATATGGAGGCCTTTCCCGCAACCTCGGCCACCGCCCAACAATGTTACCTCCGATCGACGAAAAAATGTCACTTTGTATGACACTTTTACTCTTTGTGACACTTTGTGAAAAACTGTCATTTTTGTTTAAAGACGTCATACATATGACACTTTTACTCTTTGAAAATGTCAAAATTTTCTCGAAAACTATCATCAAGATGAGATTTCTGAAAAATGTTGTCATTTGTTTCCGGTGGTCGGAGCTTGCGGTGCTAGAGGTTGTTGAAGAAGCAACAGAGGCCTGCATATTTTTTGTATATTTTTTACATTTTATTTTTTTTATTTTAACTTTTAGTTTTTTATTTAATATTTTTTTATTAGTTTTTTTATTTTTATTAATTTTATTTAATATTTATTTTCATGTTTTTTATTTTTCACATTATTATTATAAATAAATTTATGTTATTACTTTAATGTTTTACAGTGGCGATGGCCCGGCCTGTATTGGCGGCCGGAGCCAATGGCTGCATGGCTGGCATGGGGAAGGTGGCTGTGGGATGGGGCTTGGGTAGGGTATATTTTTTCAAAAACAAAAATTACTTCTATTCAAAACATTTTGCCTATGTTTTACTCCTATTTGGAGAGTTCACTATGATGTAATTTACTAATTTGTATCAAGTCAATGGGTTTCCTAACAAGTAAATTGATGTCTTCCATGTATTATTCTATACTTTCACGATCGTTTGAGTGACATGTAATAAGTAAAGGCTAGACTTGCAGAAAGCCGCGGTGGCCCGCCCATACAAATGGGATAATTGGACATATATATGCCCATGGCCCAACCCCGGCCGATTAAAAATCTGGGCGGACTTGGGTTTTTGTATAGATCCGGGTGTGTCTAAAAGACTGACCCGTAAATTATAGTAGTACATATATAAAATATATAAAATTGTACATCTGATATATAATACATGTATATATATATATATATATATATATATATATTTAAATCTCTAAACTTTAGAGTCTAAAGAAGACACATCGACAACCTTTTCATATTCAATCGGCCCAACCCATATTATTAATACCCTAATTTTAATCAGAAATTCGCACTTTTAATCCTTGAAGTAATCACCATATTGAAATATCGCACTCGTGTCTCTGAGATTGTAAATGTCACACCCTCATTTGTTCAAATTGTTGTAAATGTGGTCCTTTGAGGGGTGAAATGTACTATTCATCCACATTGTACAATTCACGTCTCAAAGGATCATATTTACAACAATTTAAACAATCGACGGGTGACATTTACAAACTAGGGAACACAGGTCTGACATTGACTGGAATGAGCTGTTTTGGTGCTGCCTCCACCTCTCCCTTATTTTCTTCTTCCTTCTAGAGGTTTGCTTCTTTGGGCTCAACTGCTACAAGATCTTTTGGTTGTGCATCTGACTCAAGCTCCTTCCACTTCTTAGCGTGATAGCATGAACTTGCTCTCTTGGATTATTCTCAGTGTTACTAAGGAGGGATCCCATAGTCCTATCAGATTGGGCCTTTGCGAGCTAACCCACTTGATTTTGTATGGTCTGAAGACTTGTTGCAGTCGTCTGTATAAAATTCCTGAGTGTCTCTTCCAAGCTGTTGTGGGCTTGCTGCCATCCAAGCATCTTATGTTCTTGAGGTGGGGCCTGATGTGTTTGGGGCTACCCGGATTGAATGTAGCTCTTAAACTGCTGCTGGTTCCCCTCTCCGTAATTCCCATAATGTTGCTTATTGTAGGGGTGATTATAGTAGTTCTGCCTCTGAAAATTCATGGCATCAACTTGCTCCACTCTAGGGGCTGACAAGGTGTGCATCATCATATTACATTCATGCGGTCAATGCAGGCCCCCACGTACTGCAAGATGGACTAATAGATCCTGAGGCCACCATGTTCACGCTAGGCATCGAGTGAGCAGTTTCCACCTTCTTCCTTAGATCTTCCACACTATTTGTGGGCTTTTGTGTCATGCTTGAAAGTATCCACCCGTGTAGAAAAGGCAGAATTATCACTGATCTCATAAAGGCCTGGAGCTTTCTGTTGGGCTGAACTCCGTGAAATGTACCATGACGCATTATTGGCAACTATCTTCCCCCTAGTGCTTCAACATCATCAGATGGCAGATCAGGAAAAGCTCCATTGGCAGAGGCATCCATAATCATCTTCCCTTCATTGTTGATACCACTGTAGAAGAAGGATATGATCTCACAATTACTCATCTAGCCTTTGGGACAAGATCTTCTCAGCACTTTGAACCTCTTCCATGCTTCAACTAAAGTTTCCAGTGAACCTTGCTTGAACTCTAATAGCTGCTTCTTTAACTTCAACGCCTTAGATGGTTGGAAATATTCTTTGATGAAAGCACTATGCAGCTGGTCCCAAGTCTGAAAGTGGTGGTGTGGATTGCTATCCAACCATCTCTACGCATCATCCCTCAGTGAGAAAGGGAAAAACATCATCTGCACCTGATCATCAACTACTCCAGGGATCTTGAAAGTCTGGCACATCCTCAGAAATTGGGTAATGTGTGTCACAGGATCTTCAGTCAGTCCTCCTCCAAATTGGTTGTTGGAAATCATGCTAATCATCGTCTGCTTGAGCTCGTAGTGGTTAGCAGTAATTCCATGCACTTGAATGTTATCATAGTCAGAAATCTCTGGCGTGAGGAACTCTGCTATCGTCTGCCCCTGGTGGTCTAAGCTGGAAAGTTGGACGTTGTTGAACAGGCGGTATTTGGGGCTGATTGTGGTACTAGTTCTGGAAACGATTTTGGTAAGGTGGCTGATTCTGAAATGAGTTCTGAGAATTTAGGTTGGGCTTGTTCAAACCTACTTCTTGCATCACAAAAATTGGATTTTGAAAAGTGGTTTCAGGAGCACTAAAAGTATTTCAAAAAAGCTGATATAGTGGAGGAAGGTTGAGTTGGGGCGTTGATTGATTTTGGGGAAAAAATGGAGGAGGACGGTAATTTTGGAAACCAGGTGGGCGGTTTCTAGAAGAGATTGGTGGTGATGATTGAGGTGATGCATTGATGTAGACATCAGGCTGGGTTGTGGTGATAAGGACTCCAGATGTCCCGGCGGTTCCAAATGAAGATTGGTCCATAGCTACTCTTTGCTCTCGTAGTGCTTTCCGATTCCGTCCGG